TTGGATTTAAGTATGAGTGATAAAATATAGGATTATTTTTGTGTATAACCAAAAAAAAAATTAAAAAATAAGTAAAAATGGGGTATGTGGCAAAATCATGACCATTGGATGTGAAGTTTTTGGTTAGTTTTTAGATTATAATTTTTTTGTGTTATTTTTGCCAATTTCCTAAAATATGTTGGGTTTAAATTTATATGGCGACACAATAATAATATTAACATAAACCATACAAATTGAGCTAAATATATAAACAAGATGATCAAATATAGTTTTGTTAATATGATTAAAACCAATAACAAAATAGATAATTGGCGAATTCATGAGTAACCAGTGATAAAATAAGAAGGGAAAAACATATTTTCCAGAAAAACTTAAGGTAGTGAAATGCTATAATTTTTCGAAAGTTTCCATAAACTTTTGAAAGTTTCAAAATCATCCGTTTTGAGTAAAATATCGTATAGTAGTTTTGCTAATCAGACTTTATAACTTTTTAGGTTGTAGTGTGCTTTCGTAATATTTGTTGGTAAGATTTTTAAAGTTTGTGAGGTATAAAAGCGACTTTAAATGGAGTGTCATAGTCTTATACTACGATTACGACTTAATTGTTCTTAAATGGGCATTTAATATTGTCATAGTCTTGCATAGGACCTCGTTCTACTTAATTAACCGAAACGGCACCAAATGCGTGTTCAGAAAATAGCACTTAATGTAGTTTTTTATTTTTCTTATGTGGATGATATATTTTTTTACAATTGGCACATTTTCTAATGACATCTGATAATATTGTACTAGATTTTGACTCACACTTGGTAAGATTAAATATTGAATATTTTACGTATTTTAGTAAAAATTCTTAATTTTTCAAAATATTATAGAATTCACATTGTTTAGTAGACCTTCAGCGATAATCTAAAACTTCATATATGTGAAAAGAATTCTTTAAAAAATTATATTAGTTCTAATTCCTCCTACTCATTATGTGATCTAAAATCGTCAAGTAAATATCTTGATG